GATATGGTCATTTGTTCTGGGAATGTCATTTTCGAGCCTGACACCTGAAAAACAGGCTCGGGGCTTAACGGGTTAAGAATAAGCCATGGAAGCTACTTGTGGTCATTATCACAAATATGTTCCATCCGTTCTCTCTTGGTTCCTGGTGGCAGACAGTTGCATCTCTTTCTCACCTAGAGTCACGGCATGTCACAGTCTCCACCCAATCGGTTGGCGTGGAACACCTCCACAAGAAAGCATTCAGGAAACATTCAAATCAGATGCCAGAACCACCTCAGCTGACTTTTTTTATGCAAAGGAGCAGCAACTATGCAAAGTCTCTTTTATCCATGATCTTATTTAGTAACTATATGTTATGCTACGGACAACATTTTTATTATTCCGCCGACTTATTTTGGCCCTCTTCTCCTCCCACATTCAACATCGCAGAAACTCCGTTCAAACATCAAATCGTTCAGCTCGGTCGGGAATCGCAGGCTATTACTTTTATCATTCATAACTTTCATAATTCATCACATTTTTAACCATTGAAGTCAATGGAGAAAATCTTCAGACTTGAACAATCTTCATGCGACTTCAACTGCTAACTGTTCATTCATACTTTCACTCAGAAACCTCATTCCAACTTTAAAATGTTACACATCTTTCTGACATTATTCATGTAATACAACTTTTAAATCTGATTCTTACTTTTAGAGATATTAAACATTGTTCAGACCTTGTTAAAGAGGTTTCCTTCAGATTTTAACATTAACTAGAGTGCGTGATGTCACAGCTAGAGTGGAGCAAATCTTGAAATTTGCCTTCATATATTTAGTAAGTAGGGCTGCTCAATTAATCGTATTTTAATCGCAATTACGATTATGGCTTGCAACGATTACGAAAACAACGTAATCTAAATAAAACGATTATTTTTTTATTATTATTATTACTTCTTTTTTTTCAAATTAATTTTTTTATTGGTTTTTCAGTTGAATTAAACTTAAAGTTCAGGGTAATCAACTGTTAAAAACATACTGTTCAAATGTTTTCTCCAATAAATTGATGTTTTCAAAGTAAATGGATAATCGTTTTTAATAATCGTGATATCAATTATTGACCCAAATAATCGAGATTATGATTTTTGCCATAATCGAGCAGCCCTAGACCAAAGTCTAATTGTTTGAACAAGCCCCAATTGAACCCAAGCAAATCATGCTATGTATTGTCAATGTCAATGATATGGGCTTTTTAGAAGATTTTTATTTTATGTTCATGGTGTCACTCACTTTTTTTTTTTTCTTGCAACGGATTATTGTCAGCTTTGTTAAAAGCCACGCAACCACATGGCACAGTGTTTTACATTTATTTATGTGGAAGAAGCATTGCAGCCCGATGTCTAATTTGTTTTAGCTTCAAAGACAAGACGCTAGATTACATATGTATGTCATCATTATGCTTTCCCTCTAACATCCATAATGGCTAATTAGGTGTTGAGAGGGTGTGAATAACTATGGAGAACACTGTTGGCCGGAAGAACCCCATTAGCGTTTTCCATAAGAATTGGTAATACAAAATGAACCACTTAATGTACAGCAGCTGAGGATTTCCAGGTTGTGAAGCACTACCAGATGGGCCATTTTCTTTACACAATTGCAAAGGCTTTCATGAAGTTGACAGATTCCAAGATACAAAAACGTTAAGAAGCAAACCAAACATCTATTAAACCATTCGGATAACTTCTTTAATAATTTATATTATTGTGCATCACTATTGATTGTGGATCTCATTTACTTTCATCATCCTTTCTCCCCCTTCTTCATTTTGTTTAGCAAAATGAAAATCGTTACGTGTTGTAAATGGCCTAAAGTAAGGATAAAATCCTGGAAACCTTTTCAAAATACAGATTTTTCTTTTAATTTCTTTGCATTTGTTGCCTTTTTTTATTGCTATCATTGTGTGGGATTAGTTTTGTTTCATAAAGATAAAGCAACACTTTCTCAGAATCAAGCAAAACTAAGAGTTTTAAGAGAAAAAAAAACTGAGTCAAGCAAAATAAATTTAATTTCAAAAATAAAACTATAAGTTGCAAACAAATAATTTGTGTAATTATGTAAACTATAAGGCTTTTGTCTTTGTTTTAACATATATTTTTGTTTGCTTCTTTCTCAATGATCAGACTTTTGCTCTCGCTGCAGCTCTCTCGTTTGCGCTCCCTCATTTTTTGTTTGTGATTCTGACACAAACGTCCCAGGGAGGCGGGACTTTCAGGGTTGCGTCCCCATTGGCTACTCAGTTTTTGAGTGACAGCCCACTACACCACAGATCGTACAGTGCAACTCATGCAGCAAACTCCGGAGTCCACTCGGCCACGTTAGTGTTGGTGTCTCCTGGGGAGTTTTCATGAAAATATCGGACTTATCTTATGGATTGCTGTGCATTATACTTGTGTTGTGTAGTTTATACTTTATTCCAACTTTAAATATTTTAAAATAATTTCCCAAAAGGTTTACTTATTTACCCCAATATGGCAGCCTGCTTCTATAATGAAAATTATATATTATTTCACTATAAGTAATGTATTTTCTTTGGACGGAAACTATAATTTACATTTTTTTACTATGTTCAATCTGAATTTACTTTAAAATACAAACATCTATATTGATTCTGACTTTTCTACTTCCAACTCACAGGTGTATCATTGCTTTGAGAAAAAAGATTATTAATTTACCCCTTTTAGAAGTGAAGATATAGTCATTTGTTCTGGGCATGTCATTTTTGAGCCTGAGACCTGAAAAACAGGCTTGGGGTTTAACAGGTTAACTAGCTTTAGGGGTCCTTAGGTGCACTTTGAGATATTTGGCACATACGTTACATTTTCTAACACAAAGACAAGAATAATGGGTTTGAGCTGTTAAAACCAGAAATGTGACAGTTGTTCTTTTAACAACTCTATCTTTGTTCAGATCTACAGTTTACAAGCAGATTTGTATGGACATTTTTTCTCACTGAAAGAGAGAAAGGTTTTATTTAATCTCTCTGTATTTATTCATCCTTCTTTACAGATTAATGTTGTAGGGTCAATATGTGTAATTTTCATGTGTAAATATCTTTCAGAAAGTCAAATAGAGATTGAATGAATGAGAGCGACATAGACAGAGAAGCTCATGGCACAGCAGTGTGGCAGATGGAAGAGATTAAGACATGACATTTTCCACAATGACAGACATCTGCTGACTACTAAGTATGTCTGTCTCTCCCTCTGACTGCCTCTCTCATGGCCATTGTCGAGTGGAAATGTACAAGCTCTGGTTGTGTCATTGTCGCCCTGATCCCACTGCTTAGACATTCTGACTAATCACATTTCCACATGTAATAGTTTTAATTGAGAAAGGGAGGAAGAGTTTAGTACTTCATTCTAATTTTCTTGCACTTATACACACACAAGACTGAGGGGGTCTTACTTAAAGTTAGCTGTAGCTGTAGATTCAGTGCAGGTACAAAAAACAACATGGTGTACACTTCGTAACTCTGACTCTTTTAGCAATGTTTTGCTTAACTTAGAATCTCATCAAAAATGGAAATGGCTATCAATGGCTACTAAATCTCAACAAGTACTCAGTAATATTGTTGTTGTGTCCTTTCTTCAGTTTAATAATTTGGCCAGATCACAAACACAATTTTATCTGGGCTGCCATACAATAACCCCACTGAGCAGTACATAGAGTTGGAAGAAGTACTCAGATCTTGTACTTGTATCTTGTACAAGTAGAACTACCAAAGTGTAGGAATATTCAAAGTATTACTCAAGTAAAAGTTCAAAAATATTGCTATCTAAATATACTTAAGTATCAAAAGTAGTCATTATGCAGAATTGAATTACGATATTTATCGCTGGGTAGCTTGTGAATTTAATCCAGATGTAACTAAAGTCCCTTTTTAAGTGTTCATATTTTGTTTATCATTGATCCATATCTGCATATTAATTAAAGGTACTACCTAAATGTAGTGAAGTACAAAGTAGCATAAAATGGAAATATTCCACTCAAGTACAAGTACCTCAAAGTCATACTTAAGTACAGTACTTTGGCAAATATACTTAGTTTCTTTACACCACTGGCAGTACATCATGAATGACTTTAATACAAACATTAATCAAGTAGGCTTCTCTAATGCAATAAAGAAGAACTCCACAGTAGGTAATTGCATCCTCAGTGTCGTCAACTGAAGATAAAGTGGAATATATGGTGGACTTGTATTATAATGAAATCAAAGTGGCAATGATAATAATTTTCAGGCTAACTTAGAATTTCACCAGTGAAGGCAAGAGTGTGTCTTTGTGGTTAGGTAATGATATTGTTGAGGCGTGTTCATGGCTTACATGGTTGAAGGAAGCCTCATTGTGTGTGTGTTGCCGCTTAAATACACAAACCTCGCCAGTATAAACCTGAGACGAGCAGAGAAGCCAGGCCACAAGAATCAGCCTGTACCCAGACCCCTGAAGACTACTGTTTAATAATGGGTGGCTTGTGGTGGAGAAAAGGTTATAACATGTGTGCCAAACATGGGATTGATAGTGGAGGCTATCTTTAATCCATTTAGGCTCCATGCTGTAAAAGTTTAACTAAATGAGTTATCCTATAACTCATGAGGCAGACTTCTGGCAGCTTGGAAGCATTAGTTAGTTATTAATCAACACTTTAAAACATAATTGCTTCAAAGGAGTGAAACACAAGCTATTCTAATGCTCTTGGAAGTCACAAAGTTACCATTATACTCCTTGCTCCAAACAAGTAGTACTACTGCCACATCTGCTGAATATTCAAGAGAAATTGATTCTGCAACTGCTTCTGTAACTTAAAGACCACACGTTTGATGCCCAGTGCAACTAAAGTTGTGTTATTGATTGGTTCTGGTAAAATCTAGAAAAACATACCTTGACAACTGTTTTTAAAAGCTGCTCTGAAACAAGTTCAGACCAATTCTCACTGGATTCTTCCTCTGTTTCCTGTTTCTACAGAATGGCTCAAAAAGAGAAACTCCAGTGCCTGAAGGACTTCCATAAGGACACTCTGAAACCATCTCCAGGTAAAAGCCCTGGCACCCGGCCTGAAGATGAAGCAGAGGGCAAACACCCCCAGCGTGAGAAGTGGGCGAGCAAACTGGACTTTGTTCTGTCCGTGGCTGGCGGCTTTGTTGGTTTAGGGAACGTCTGGCGTTTCCCGTACCTCTGCTACAAGAATGGTGGAGGTGAGGCCTTTGATCTCAGTCTTATCAAACGTGCTCTGATTTTCCATATTGGTCTTCTTTGAAATCATGCTGATTATGTTTTCACTCCACCCAGGTGCATTTCTCATCCCCTACTTCATTTTCCTGTTTGGCGGCGGTCTACCAGTCTTCTTCCTGGAGGTTTCCCTGGGTCAGTTCACCTCCGAGGGTGGCATCACCTGCTGGGAGAAGCTCTGCCCCATCTTTACTGGTATGTAGCTCATTACTTATGATTAGATTATCGGGTGGGGTTGCATTTCAGCACACAATGTGGTTTTTGACATGAATGGTTGTAAAGAGTAGGAGAAAGGAGGTGGGCAGGTGGGTGTTGACCCTGCACATGGAAACCCCACACATAACATCATGGACACACAGTCTAATGTTTTAAAATTGTAGTTTACATACACAATGGAAAAGCTGAGGTCCTTTCCTGTAGTGTGTTATATATGTGTTTGTGCTTGTAAATGGTCTACAAGGCTAAGACACACATCCCCCACCTCCCCCCTGCCTGAAACTCCTCCAATGGTCTCCTTTGTTGACTTCCGTTAAATTGTGACATCACTATCTAATACTGGCGCTTCTATTGGCTAGCGCTCCAACATATTGTACGCTAAAGGCTAAGGGCTGGGACATTTCCGACACATCTCTAAGCAGTTGACCAATCACAACCGAGCCGGCCAGCTAACCAATCAGAGCAGACTGGGCTCTGGTTTCAGACAGAGGGTGAAAAGAGGTGCTGCAGTAGGAGAAAAATAAAGAGCTTTTTGAACATTAAAGCATGGAGACATGTCACAGTAGAGGAACAAAATACAAATATGAACCTGAGAATGAGCATTTATCCTCTTAAGACTTAGATGAAACCTGTGTTGTTGGACATTAGTAGGACAAATAAGGAAGATTTTTTTGTGACATATCACATTTACTGTTCTCACATTATCCTACTGAGGGCCTACTTGAAAATCCAACATGGCGTCACAAACCTTTTCCTGCCCAACTCAAAGGGTTTGAATTTTTCCAGACCTCTGTTGGTTTTCACAGAGGAATGACTGTGCAACATAAGGCTGAGTCACGCCAGAGTCTCCTCCAACCAGAGCGCTGAGACTGTACTGTGCAACCGTTTCCAGGCAACCAGGTTTGCTCTGGTACACCAACACACTGAGGCCTCTATTCTGCGTTAACCTTCCCCAGCTCTCACCTCGTCTCCGGTGAAAACCCCCTCTCTTCAAGGAAAGCACATTCACAGTTCCTAGATGTATTCCCTGATTACAGGTATCAAACAGAGATAGTTTTTTAAATGTTTGCCAAGCCAGACTTTTCTTTCTTGAGTCTAAGCTCTATTTTTAACTTTTCTACCACATATTCCTTTCTTTTTTCTAGATATGTTTGTATACAGTGTATATATATTTATTTAATGACTCGTTTGTCCTTGCATGTACCATGCCCAAATACTAACCCATGTCTTTACAGGCCATATAATATATAATAATAATAATATATATTTATATAATAAAACAACAACAAACTAACATGGTTCATGGTATGCCTAAAATTCAAAATATTTTTTTAATTTTTTATACGTGAATTAAAGAAAGAAATTGAAATATATATAAAGTAGTATTATTATTAATAATACAATATTAAGTAGTTTGTAATAATAATATTATTATAAAAGGATCAAATACATAAAGTAGTTTTTAATAATAATCTATAATAATGCAAATACTAATAAAGATAATATAATAGTTTATCGGTTTGTTTGTTTTGTATTAACCTAAATCTGCAAAGTGGCTGCTATCTAAAATGCTGAAATAAATAAAGTGCATTACACATAATATTTGTGTTGCCAAAAATCATAGTGAAGTATTGTATAAAGTAGCATAATATGAAAAACTGAAAATGAAAATATAAATATTTTTATAAATAAATAGAAATACAACTAATTATAACAAATAAAATATCCAGGTGGAGAACAAGTACCACATGTTTTACACATGCATAGCACTGCAAATTGGCAGGTATGACATTTTTTTTTCTAGAAAGGCAGATGGATAATAACATTTTAATATTTCATTTGCTTCACTCCAAGCCTCTCCTCTTCCTCCTCAGCTCTTCTCACCTCCCCCTCTCCTCCTGCTCACTAATCATTAAGGTTAATGTATTCATCACTGTTTATTTATCTCTCAGTGGGTATTTACTCAGTTTTATCTTTTTAATATTCATGCTGATTCGCTATGATTAAACATACATAAACCTTCTCTCTGGTTCTTCTCATGACTGTTGAATTTAGTCTAGTAATTTTATCGTTACTGATGACAACCGTAACCGATCATTGTTTCTTTAACTCCATTTAATTATTTACTCATGTTGCGGTTTTCACTTTCACATTACACACGTTCTTTCTTTGTTTCAGACATTATCCCTCCGCCGTCACACACACACACACACACACACACACACACACACACACACACACACACACACACACACACACACACACACACACACACACAGTGTCCCAAATCACACGTTGCTACGGCAACAGTGAGGCAACACATCAGAGAGATGAAGAGAGAGAAAGAAAGGAAGCAGAGCAGCGAGATCTGAGGAGCTGGGAGATGGATTGATAAAGACAAGACAAAAGGGGGGAGGGAAATAAAGGCAGAGAGAGATGAAGGGTGGAAAACAGGAGAGGAGGGAGGAAGGAAAGGAGGTAGAGGCAAAGAAAAATGGAGGGAGAAGAGGAGACTGTAAAGGAAAGAGACGAGAATGGAGGACATGAGTCTAAGAGAAAAGGAAATAAAAAGAATTAAAGCAAGATCAGAGAGAACCAGAAAATAGGAGATATATGAAAGAGAGCCCTCTTTATGCCTTATGTTTTTGTAAACATGATTGGGAAATATAAAGGTATAACCGTTCATGCTAATGTAACATTATGGCTCTGACCTGGAATAAGAACGAGAGGAGAATCGAGACGTGCTCCACGATTCTGCCCACGTGTCTGATTTTCAAGAGATTAAAACATGTCGCGAATGATGATCATTGAAAACAACCGAACCAGTTGCAGCTCTGCCTGTCAGTTAAAAGAAAAAAAATGACAGCAAACTGTGACTAAATAAGAGCAGCTGTACAAGTAAAAGTCGAGATACAGAAATAACAACAACAATCAACATTATCTATGTGCTCCAGGATACTGTGGACCAAATACCTGAAGTCTTTACTTCTGTAATTCAATGTTTTTCTTTGATATACATTAAAATCGGAACATTCTGTAACCAACACCACCGCTCATTACAATTCCTTATTAATTAATGTATTATTAATACTACTGAGTATCATGCTGTGTCGTGAAAGACTACAAGCCAGTGGAAGTACAATCCAGCTTCATAATGACTACCATTTAGTCACTTGTAGAAATTGACAAGCATCAATGTCTGTAGGCCGACCCGGAAGTTAGCATCGCAAGGATTCCCTCCACAAGAAGCAAGGGAATTCTTCAATTGGATGTTGGAATATTGCAGAAAATAACACATTTCGGCAAACACACATTTATCATACTTAACACCAGTGGCGAGCCGTGACTTTTATACCTAGGCCCTCTGACCCCCCCCACCTTTGATGATCAAATCACTTAAACACAAAGTCCATCCTCCTGTCCTTTTGGATGAAGCACTTGATGGCGGGGTCATGCAGCTGATCCTTTGCCACATCATTGTAACTCAATCTTGAAAATGACTCTGTTAATCCTTTCGCAACGATGTCATCACTATCACTGACATGAGCCATCATGAACGAACTTATGCTAATCATAAATCTATCGATCATACATTTATTGATTAGATTTATGATTAGAAAATTATAAAAGTAGGGTAGACATGTGGATATTATCCGGCTGAACAAAACGTGCATTTATCTAACCGGTTCGTTCCACAGATCTTATTTCGAGCTATTTTCCAAAACCCTATGGAGAAATCCCATTGCTTTTTTTGTCGAGGGAACCCATGCGCAGCTTACTTCCGGGTTTTAGGACGCGTCACTGCACCACTTTATACACATGCATAAACTTCACAGCGGGCGGAACTTCTCATAAAGCCCACCCATTTAGAGGGAAGATATGATTGGTCAATTGTACTGTCATTTGACATTACTCTCTCATTGAGTTACTATAGCGGGCCCTATGTGAATTTACAGCAGGACAGTAACTCGCAGAGAGGGCCAGACGAGCTTCTTTCATTTAACCCTTCACATTCCAACAGAAACTGAACAGGCAGATTTATTTCTTTGGAAATGTTATTTTAAATACAATTAAATACAATTATTTTTGGTAAAACTAATGAAAAATATAACTAAAATATTTAATGTTTTCAAATATTATTTTTTAGAATACCTTAGGCCCTCAGAGAGGGCCTAGAGGGCCCTGACGGCTCGCCACTGCTTAACACATTTTGTCAGCAGGATAGTCTCCACATATTAACACCACTTTGTGATATTTGAAGCAAATGTAAACACCAGAAGTAAAAAACTAATGTTAGGCTATAATCAGACTACAGAACGGTCACATGACTTAAAGTCACCACCGCTAAGCTAAAGGCGGACTCGTGTCAGCGTGATGACGTTTAGTAGTTAATTTAGTCATTTGTTAGTAACCACCGACACGTACTGTAGAAGCTTTGGACATTCACCAGTGGTGTATTTACTGATATACTTTATGTCATAGAACACAACATTTAAATCTCTTCAGCCTGTGTTAAACAGACCTTAATTCAGGCTTCTAACTAACACTTTAAATGGAACGTTTCGGAAGTACTAAAATGCTACGTCTTTTCAGGGTTTTAGCACTCATTCCTGCACCACTCTATGGTGATTGTTGTTTTATATGACGGTGCCAAAGACACATTCCCATTTCATGCAAATGTAATGGACAATGAAGTTATCTGAACCTGAAAATGTTACTGCTCTTAGCTTATGTTCAGACTAAGAAAACACTGTTAGATACTGTACACCAGTCATTACGGAGTGGTTAAAATAACCCCTGTCCCAAACACAATGTCAGACTGAGTTATCAAGGGGAAACCAAACTCAGTGTGATTAGGCTGATCTCCTCTAGCTGGGAACAGGCTTAAAGATTATTGACATGTACAAAGAGAATACACCCAACACATAACAACTGTTTCCACTGACATCCAGGAAGAGGCACATATTCAATCACTGAGTAAATGCATAGAAACACACGGGGCGACAGGTAGACTATTATTAGACTTGTGTTGCTTGGCAACTGACACACTCTCGGCATGTTCTCTCACCAAAACAGAAACAAGCCATTCATCAAAAACTGTTTGACTTAACCCTGCCATCCAGATAGAATAAAGGTTAAAAAGAGAAATGTTACATTTGGATTTTATATTTAATGGAAAGCTGAAAAAGTGGTTTACATAACACCAGTCTATCAGTTTAATATTAGGTGGTTTATATTGTTATTTATTGATACGTTTTTCATTATTTCTTAAAAGTTTTAGTACTTGTACCAAAAATAAAAGTAGTCCACTCGATATAGAGTATGGCCCTTTTTGGAATAGTATATCATGAATTACTGTATTATGACTATTAACAGATTTAAGTTGTTTATCTCTTCAGTTATCTTGGTAGCTTAACCAATGATGAACAGTTTTTGTGTGTTAAAGGATCAGTTGTTAATGTAAACAGTCAGAGCGAGGTCAGCCGAGGTCAGCAGATGAGCACAAGAAGTGACATCATGGAGGAGGACGCATCTGTTTGTTTAATCGTGTGTGTGTGTGTGTGTGTGTGTGTGTGTGTGTGTGTGTGTGTGTGTGTGTGTGTGTGTGTGTGTGTGTGTGTGTGTGTGTGTGTGTGTGTGTGTGTGTGTGTGTGTGTGTGTGTGTGTGTGTGTGTGTGTGTGTGTGTGTGTGTGTGTGTGTGTGTGTGTGTGTGTGTGTGTGTGTGTGTGTGTGTGTGTGTGTGTGTGTGTGTGTGTGTGTGTGTGTGTGTGTGTGTGTGTGTGTGTGTGTGTGTGTGTGTGTGTGTGGGTGATCAAAAGGACATGATGCGATGGTGAAATAGTTCACACACATAAAGCAAACTGTACAATTCAGGAAAATGTACGGAGACTAATGTTTACACACACGCAAACATACAGATGGCCTATGACGTTAAAGGACATTTCATTGGGATAAGTGCCCTCTGTCGGTGGTGTTTTCCAGAATGAGGGTACACACATATAAGTACTAATATACTTGAGCACCCCCACTGACCGCGATCATTACTTAATCTTATCTGTGTCCTTGTGTAGTGGGAACACACAGACAAAGCCTTGACCCTCTGTTTACCATCAGTTCTGTCTCAAGGCCAGGATTGTCGCAATGAAGTTAATCTCATCGGCCTTCCAAACATCACTTAGTTTAGGTTAACGACAACACTGAAGGTTAACAAAACGAAAACAATATTGCTGTAGATCTTGAGTAGGCTACTATGTGTAGTTCGCTAACAGAAACATCTGTATACAAATATAGTCTTTTAATCTGACATTTGAGTTTGTATTATTTATTTACTAAAGAGGACCTAACATGCTCTTTTTCAGGTTTCAGTTTTTGTATTAAGTGCTTCTACTGTGACATGTTTCCATGCTTTAATTTTCAAAAAGTTCTTTATTTTTCTCATGTTCTGGAAGTGGCTCCGGCAACTTAAAAAAGAAAGACCAAGAGGTCAACACAAAAGCATAAAACCAAGGCTGGTCGGGTTATTTCTTGAGGAAAATGTACAAACAAATGTGCACATTTTCAGCATAACTTATTTATTGTGAGGACATTAAATCAAAACTAAGTGTGTTGGTTCCTATTTTATGAAATGTTGCTTGTTTTGTCATGAACACTCAACTGTTAAGGTACATCCTGTTTTTGGCCCGACAATACTCAGCACTAACAACTGTCTTTTTTTCTCAAAATGTAACATTACCAGAACTTTTATGTTGTAAATTGTGGGTATTTTGATGAAAATATCCTTCATTTATTTACAAGGGCAATACGCTCAAGCCTCCAATCAGGTTGTTTTCTTTACATTCCACAATGTATTTGAAAGAAGGTACCATTCAAGCCTTTATTCACTTTGATAAAAAATGCCTGTTGCTCTTTCTTTTACTACCATACAAATCCTGTTCAACAGAGAGTTTGCTCACATTGTGACCTTTAATCTTGATGACCATTTATTGGACTGTTGATGGAATATTTGGTATCCTCAACCTGAGCTCTCTTCTCTCTCCAGGTATTGGTTACGCCTCCGTTGTGATCGTGTCTCTGCTGAATGTCTACTACATCGTCATCCTGGCCTGGGGTCTCTACTATCTGTTCCAGGTAGGTTTGAGAAACTGATGGCAAGAAAAAACGTTTCTCTAACTTTCTCTCATTTCTCTTTCTGTCACCTCCATCACAAATAACTAACATTGTAGGAATAAAACTGGATTTTTATCAAGACAGTTTGACTTCTGATACTCGACCCGTCTGTTTGTTTGTAGCCTTTATTTAACCAGGTGAAAAATCCCATTGAGATCAACGATCTCTTTTTCAAGGGAGACCTGCGGTACATTAGTTACACATAAAAACAACAGAAAACAAAAAGGACATCACAACATAATTACAGGGGTATAAATTAGCAACCTATTCACAATGACAGGTATCTAATAACATTTAATCCAGCCGTGCTTTAAAATGATGCAAGGGAACCAAAATGCTCAGTTTCAATGTGTTTTGCATGGTGTTCCAAGCTAGAGGAGCAGCGCACATAAAAGCTTTAGTACCTAAAACAGTCCTAGCACTTGGCACATGTAATAAGAACACATCCTGGGATCTCAGGCAATAGCTACTTGCCACTCTCCGTGAGATCAAAGAGCATATATAAGTCGGTAGTTTACCCAGCATGGCTGTATATATGAATATGTACCAATGACTGAGCCTCCGACCAGTAAGTGAAGGCAGACCTGCCTTGGCATACAGGGTACAGTGATGAGTAAGTGCTTTACAGTTAGTAACAAATCTCAGAGCACTGTGATAGGCGGCATCTAACCTTTCCAGGCAATGGGCAGGTGCATTCATATAGATCAAATCACCATAGTCTAGCACAGGTAAAAAGGTCACAGTGACTAGCCTTTTCCTGGCTTCAAAAGAGAAACAGGACTTGTTTCTAAAAAAGAAACCTAGTCTAACCCTCAGCTTTTTAAGCAGATTAATGACCTGAAGTTTAAAAGTAAGACAATCATCAAGCCAGATACCAAGGTATTTATAACAGGTAACCACTTCGAGTACTTGTCCTTGCATAGTAACAATATCCAAAGCAGTCTCTGGAGTCTTTTTAGCTTTAGAAAAGAGCATTACCTTGGTTTTCTCAACATTTAAAAGAAGCTTAAGCTCAGCGAGCTGAGTCTGAATAATGTTAAAAACAGCCTGTAATTTAACAACCGCCTCCTTAATCGAGGGACCTGCACAGTACATCACGGTATCATCCGCATAAAAATATAAAGTAGCTTCATCCACATTTTCACCTAAACTATTGATGTAGATGGAGAATAAAAGTGGACCTAAAACAGAACCTTGAGGAACACCATTAGCAATGTTCAACCACTCAGAAGACAGCCCATCAAAGTGAACACATTGGGACCTTTCAGAGAGGTAGTAGGTGTAGGTGGAGCAATAAAATCTGCAGCTATCTTTAAAAAGAAAGGTTCTACGTTGTCCGGGCCAGCCGGTTTCTTAGGATCTAACTTGGTTAAAGCTTCATGAACAACATTTACAGTAAAAGGAGTAAAACTGAAAGGGTTTTCCAGACCACATTGTTCAGAGTCACAGACTGTGGTGTTCACAGAAGCAGAGTTAGTCACAGAATCAAGAATGAGAAAGTTAGAATGAGATCAATTAGGGAGGATTTATTAGGGGACTTAATGTTAGGGCGAGTAGGACTGTCAACAATCTGAGTAACATTCAAAGAGATACAAAGGTTTTTAAAATCCTCTGATACTGCAGTTAACCAGTCCCAGTTAAAATCTCCAAGTAGCACTATTTCCTTATAGTCTAGTTGCGATAAAAGATTTGCTAGTGAAGACAAGGAGTCCTTGACAGCTGAGGGGGGTCTGTAACAGCCCACCACCATGACCAGTTGACCCTTTGCCACTTCTATATTTAAGGCTAAAAATTCGAATTGCTTACTGATAGATTTGGAAACCAATGTGGTTACACTGAACTTATTCTTAACATAAATGGCAACGCCACCACCTTTATTAGGCCGGTCAGTACGATACACATTATAACCATTTAAGGATATGTCAGAGGCCAAAATAGTTTTATTTAGCCATGTTTCTGATAACACAATGACGTCAGCGTCAGTCGAGCTTGCCCAAATGCGGACAAAATCTAGTTTTACCTAACAGACTGCGCACATTCAAGTGGATGAAACCCAACCCAGACCTAGCTTTAAAATCAGCAGAAGTAGCGATCTGACTACTACTACTGGGCGGTCCAGGGTTAGGTTGTACATTTCCTGACAGTAATAACAACAACAACAAAAAACAGGCATCTTTTCCTCTTAAGCGACACACATACATTGTCATCTACTTTAGAATCACTGGAAAAGTCTGCGAGAGTGTGATTAGAGTTTAAGAAGCAGTCCTGAAGTACCATCATTGCAGGCAAACAAAAAAGACAAACATATTTTGCTCGACAAAATATGTTTGTCTTTTTTGTCTGTACTTGTTAGCTGGAATGTCAGCCTTTTTTATAGAAACACTCTAGGAAAATGTTTCAGGATAAGTAAAAGGGGCCACCAGAGCCATGGTTGGTTCAGAATAATGTACTTATTGGGGAAATCTTTTTTTATCCTGTGTTTTTCTTTCTTATGTATACACAGAAGGGAGTAATGTTGTGTATGTGTTTGTGTATGCATAATATATTTATGGGTTTGCATTTGTGTATGAGGTCAAAGCAAGAACTTCACATCATACTGCATCTCATTCTTCATTCTGCGTACAGTAGACCGCCAAATGACAATTGTTATTTGTTATAGTTTATAATGTATATATGACGAGAACAAAAGAGCAGAGCAAATCAAGCATCACATAAATGTAATCACATATCCGTTTCTTATATTGTCTGCCTAAATGTATATATTTCAACCCTTTGTCTGAAACACTTGCCTCAGACATCATAATATGTGTCTTTCTAACCCTAACGCACTTTAGTGCCTGTCTTCTAAACTCCACAAAAAAGTGACGTGTTTGACTTGAAAGAAATGCGTTATTTGCTTCTAGACAGTTTAACATGTCCTGTTTATTATTTTCCATACCAGAACATCTAAGAGTGTATTAATTTGTCACACTTAGGCCATGACCACCTACCATAGAAAAGAGAAGCTGTGTTTAGAAATGTCACCTATTCAGGTCCATAATTATGACACCAATCAGAAGAAAGGCTGTCCTTAACCTGTTACGCACGGCCCCCCCGGTACCGGGCGGATAAACGCGTCATTTGCAGGAAACAACGTCTAAGGAATCTTAATATTTAATAAACTATGAATGTTTTATATCCATGTAACGGGAAGAAACTCGGCTAACTGATCTTTTTAAAAAAAAAAATCCAAAAAAAAACCACAAAGCTAACACTCAGCCTCTGAATTAGCCACGAGCGAAAAAATGTAACCTATCTCTGCACCTAAACTCACTCCTAACTCCCTTATTACTTATCCTAGATGCACAGCCAACCCCTCGTTTTGCTTCAGCTGGAGACACAGAATCATTTGGTGCCCACCTCAACACTCAGTGATAAACATTTGCGACGCTATAATGCTACATGTGGCGCTAGGTAGCTAGAAACGCTAACATGGCTTACCTTGGTCAAAACTGGTCTTCAATGGCATTAAAACGATAAAAGAACGATGCTGCAGTTAATCCATAGGTTAATCCAATGTGTCTGTGTCCTCTTTGAAATGATTTCTGATAATCCATAAGCAATAAAACTGCTTTTTCGTTTCTAAATGCCAGAGCTAGAGATAGGTCCACTCTGCTGCAAATTTACATGCGCGCAGCCCCCACCTTTTCTCTTCACAACGTGTGTGTGTGTGGGGGCCCCCCCTTCCATTCTATTGGCTCTAACGGTCAGAAAGAGGTGTCAACCATCAAAATCGACCAAGGGGGGCCAGAGATATGGAAAAAAAACATTTTCACCCAAATCACCTCAGAGGTGGGGTGGTTTTGGCTAAACCTCTCTAAAAAGGTCAAATGTCACTTGTTTTGCATCAATCTTGATACAGGGTACTTATTATATGTTGTACTTTGGATTCCTAAAGCTTTTAGTCTACTAACCCATCATCCAAGGGTAGTTTTCACTATAAGTAAAAAATAATTTTTGGACGGACACTATAATTTACAGTTTTTTACTATGTAAAATCTGAATTTTCTTTAAAATAAAAAACATCTATATTGATTCTGACACTTCTACATCCAACTCACAGATGTAACCTTGCTTTGATAAAAGAAATTATTCATATAACCCTTTTAGAAGTTAAGTTGTTTTGAGCATGTCATTTTCGAGCCTGAAACATGAAAAACAGGCTTGGTGCTTAACAGGTTAAGCTAAATTGTCCTCTAACCTGCTTCTTTATTCCTTTCAGTGTTTTCAGCCGGAGCTGCCCTGGGCCAAGTGCAATCAGCCCTGGAACACGGATCGATGCATCGAGGACACCTTCCGCAAGAACAAATCCCTTTTGCTGGGTGCCAACATCACCAACTTCTCTAACTTCACCTCCCCCGTCACCGAGTTCTGGGAGTGAGTTACATAAGAGCACACATACATGCTCGTTTACATGCTCGTTTACATAACCTGTAATGTTTTCATGTCATCGAATGTGATGTGTCGTGTTCAACTAAAGGATAAGTGAGTAGAATGTCCCATAAAGACAGTGTATTGACTCCTTCAACAATAGTCCATCTGAATCATCACTTGACTATGATTAACTGCACATGTTAGATGGTGTCTTTATCAACAGAGACCCTGCCCTCGGCTTTTATTTTTCTCATTTTGCTGTGTTTGGGAAGTTTCATGGCGTCCATTGATATAAAAACGTAGCAAAATACGGCAAGATCGTATCAATTAATCTACAGTTCTAAAGGAGAAAAGAGGTGGATGTAGTCTAGTATAGTTTTCTGGACTAATCTTTTGAAGCCTCTCGTTTGCCGTTTTGGCCTTAGCCATCTTGTTCTTTTTATTATCTACAGTTGACACTAAAGGGTAGCGCTTAGAAAAACTGTTGAATGTTGAAGAATAAATATTATTCTACCAAAGTATGATTAACTTTCCACAGCTAAATGAAGGGGGCAAAGTGTAAAGTACTAGTTCTACCAATGCCCCTAAGCATACCCTTCTATCACCTATTATCCATTTTACTCTAAATGGAACCATCATTTACTAAATTAACCTAATGCTGTATTGAAGACACATTATAAATATGTTAACGAGGTAGAAAATCAAGTTGTATGTTAATTTTCATTGACTTCTATGCAATCTGACTTTGAAGTTCCGCCCTGCTGGTCATTCGAAAAAATACGGATTAAAAGGCACTTCCCACTTGGCTTCAGTTTTCAGAGCTGAAGGGTGGCTGCTCGACCTGGACACATTAGAAAAACTAGAATGAATGGCGGCATGCTTTTATTTTCTAGAATATTGAGCTGGCAGTGTGGTTTGTCACCCCAGTCAAAGACCATAAATTCAACTGTTCAAAAGAAAAATAGTAGATTAGATTACACAGTTATTTGATTAATACACATAAACACTTACAGACATGTGACTCGCCCACTTGATTAACTTAAATTTGATGAAATCCACTGTAGCTTTTTGTCACTGTTACATAATGTCTTAAGTTGAACAGATGGACCCACACGCTTACGAAGCTTTCCTTTCTGTGTTCCAGACATAATGTGCTGGGCATCAGCAATGGGATCGAGGATATAGGTCCTGTTAAATGGGATCTGGCTCTGTGTCTACTGCTGGTCTGGGTCATCTGCTTCTTCTGCATCTGGAAGGGAGTCAAGACTACTGGCAAGGTAAACAAATGTTTCTGTGAACCTTTACTTTCTGGTTTAAAGCTGATTTTATTTTGTCTTCCACTGTTAATACAGAGAAACAATCTTTTGTTTCTCCTGAACTTGATGAACTTTACAGAAAGGCAAGAACTGACTTGTCCGCTTTTATCTTTGCTGCATCATAATGACTGCCACAAACCATGACATGCTGATGCTCATATTACTTTTTTGATTTGGTCTTAAGAGAACAATAGGGGCTATGTTCAAACGGAGTGCAAGTTGTTCTCAATGCCTGGTTGGGCTGAGAAAGCAAAGTACATTTGCTTTCAATATTATTTTTCATCCTGTTAAAAAAGAAAAAGTGGTATAATCTTTTTTGACCCCATGCATTCAACTAATTGTAAGACAGACAAAATTACCGTAGCAAATATGATATTGTTTTGAATGGATTGATAAAGAGAACATATCAGACTTTGGTTAATAGCTGCTACAACAACAACAACAACCACTTTCCATAGACCAGAAAGCTCAATCAATCCCAGACTGCTCTTTTTATAATCTCAACACTATGCATTGATTAGACGGGCCTGATGGATGCTCTCTGGTTGCTCTAAATTGTAATTCTGGTAATAAAGTCACTCCTACAAGGCCATGTGTGGTCAGGGCTTTCCAAATAACAGCTTATGATACACTGCTATTGATTTAAGGGACTCTCTCTGGTCTATCATGGTCACCATCCAAAAATATCTTCACACATTTATCAGACCATATTCCCTGTAACGAAACCTAAGATATTAGCAAGTGAACCAAACACATTAGCAATTACTTCATGGCCAAGGCGGACCATTTTTTACACTGTAAACATTTAGTTGTAGTTTTCCTCTGTAGAAAATGACAAACTGTAACATATTTTAAAGAGCTTTTCCTAAATGTGCCTTTATTTTCTGTATTGTGTTCTCCATCAGGTGGTCTACGTCACAGCAACGTTCCCTTTCGTCATGCTCATCGTTCTGTTGATCCGTGGTGTGACCCTGCCGGGAGCTTCTGCCGGCATCAAATTCTACCTGTACCCCGACCTGGCTCGTCTGCAGGACCCAGAGGTAGGTGCCGTTGTACTGCCCGAGTGAGAAACCCTCAACATAGGTCTCCTTTTAGAGTCACTGTGTCTAGCCAAACATCTACGCACGTTGCTTACTGTTGAAGAAGTGAAACGTCTTTCTGGTTGCAAATAAAATGTGAGAAATGTCATTTAAAATAATTGTTATCAAGGTGTCATCGCTAACTTTTGGTACTGTTTAGTCTGAACAGAATACTTAGACTAGATTTCTACAGACCCTGAATTCCCTAGTCCATATAAGTGTTCAATTCTGGCAAGACACCGGCGTTGCTAACCGCCAGCATTTACACTAATTCTCACTATTATAAGTCAGTCTAGCCTCAAAATGATTTTAAAGCTGGCATTTTAGGGTAAAATCATTACATACATTAACTAATTATCCACCCAGCTAGCTTCGCTAGATATTACCCATGCCTTGTTATTCCCCTCATCAGCAGGCCTCAGCCTTTTTGTATGCGCTCTCTCCTCCTACTTACAGGTGTGGATTGACGCCGGTACCCAAATCTTCTTTTCCTATGCCATCTGTTTGGGCGCCATGACCTCCTTGGGGAGCTACAACAAGTACAAATACAACTGCTACAGGTGAGGCATCAGTTTTCAGTGAGGGGTTAGCGGTAGTGGAGAGAGGGGGAGACGGGATCGTTGTGTGTTCATTAACAAATCCTCCTCATGACATATGTGTGACATAGGGACTGTTTGCTGCTGGGAGCCCTCAACAGTGGTACCAGTTTTGTGTCTGGCTTCGCAATATTTTCCGTCCTGGGCTTCATGGCACAAGAGCAAGGGGTGGACATTGCTGATGTGGCAGAGTCAGGTACGAGGGTTCTGTAAAGGTGGCAGTGATGGTGGGCGCTGCTTTCCTGGTTAACAAAATAAACGACAGTAATGACAAAGAAAAACAGCAACGAATCCCTAAAGAGAATTAGCCAATATGTTTATTTTCGGCCAAATGAATGGTAACTTGGTATTAAAAGGATTCCTGGATTAATTACAAATGACGGCATCGGTATATGGAAGTTTCCGCAATCAAACACTACTTGACAAAAGCAGAATGTGAGAAAATATCTGATCGGTTTATTAGCGCATCATTCGAGTGAAGAAAGTTGGATGGATTTGGACTAAGAGAGAGATGTTGGAAAATGTATTTAGTTTTCAAAAAGAGCAAGAGTTAGACCCAAGCCTAACCCTAAAAGGCATAAAGAACAAGCTAGAGTTTACACAGAACAAGCGATGTGGGGACATACAATGTATCCTGTGCCAGTGTGCTAGCCTAAACATGCACAAGAGTTTTGGTCCTGAGAGGTTCCTTTTCTACCTTCATGTTACAAACTGATGTGACCATTGATGTGGTTCCTATCTGGTTGACTGACACATATGGTGTTATAAGTTGTTTCTACAAAAGGTTTTTTAGAATTGGCAATCTTTCATGATGTCATCTTTTGTGATTTAACAAAGTTAGCTCAATTCAAGCCAGGAGCCATGCCTGGTTTTCTGATACAATCAGACTAAGGATTTTATTAATGCTTGTTTTTCACATCCCAAAGCAAAGAAAATATGAATGTTGGCTTGTTTTAAAAATATATACTTAAGATTACACTTTAAGAAAGGTGTTCTCTGTTTTTATCTAGAACAACTATTGGGTTTGTTTGGAAAGTTTGAATCTCGTCTTTTCTTGATTTAACTCACTTCCTTTACATGCTTAAGATATAAGGCATTCTGTTTGAAATCAAATGAGACACAAATTTGCAACTTTTCATGTTTGCTGATAACATAGCAATGATGTTGTTACTGTAAAATGCTTTTGTGAAACCCAGGCTTTAAGTATTTCCCGAAGATCATCTAGGTTGACAGCGCAAATTTAGATTAGTGCATTCCGCTTACTCCAAACACTGACTATGCTGCCAACCCAGTCGATACGAATATTGGACAATTCTGTGGTCTCCTATTTGCATTGCCATGCCATTCTTTTGGATGGCCCATTTGTCCGACAGCCCGTTATCCCAAAAACCAAAGGCCCATTGTTCCAAAAATACACTCTATCCAAAAAACAGATGGCGGAGGCATGACTCGCCCTACTGGCTCTGGTTGGATTTGCCTTACTGGTTTCCTGCCAATGCCTAAACATGACCAGCCCAACCAATAAAGGCAAAGATTACAGGTCTGATTAATACATTCTGCATAATAAATAGACATGTTTTATGCAGAGACAATTAATTAGACAAGTAATTCTGGAGCAATCGACCTTTGGAACAATGGGGTTTGGCTCCAATTGGAAATGTATCAGACTTTTTGAGTTTTGGAATAACGGGCTTTCAGAACGATGGGCAAAGCCCCAATTTTAGCAGACTTATCCAATATCAACGTTGTGTTTGGTGAGTGGGTTGATGCCTCACAGGTTAGCAAAGCATTAAAAGGAACTAGGCAGAGCAACAGGGAACTCAGTTGTTAAAGAAAAGGTAATTTTGTCCTTTAGGTTGAACAATAGAGTTATTTGAAAGTGTAGGGAAATCTCAAGTAAGTCTGCCTTAACTGCGATTACTTGATTTCCTCGTACTTTGTATATGAATGTTATCAATTCAGAGACTCAGCTGAGTAAATATACAGAACTCGTATATCATGCTATAGCTACTACGAACAAGTCTGTGCTAAAAAGGAAAAGATAAATATATACAAAATAGGTTTAAATATGTAGTAATTTGTGTTTTGTAAAGTTGTACAGTAATGATATCACACTGTTTGATGGTGATTTTATTTTACGATTTTGATATACTTGATTAGCGTTCTGTTAGCATCTCAGGGAATAGAAGTTGTTAGTTGTTAGTCAACGCGGTGTTTGGTTGGATGCCTTGTCATTATTTGCAACAAAAGCTGAACATACTTACATACTGTATGATGCTATCAGCTGCGATGCTGTTTTGCTGTTATGGCTGCTTTCTTGTTTTTTAACTTCTGTTTTCACAGTTTCCAAGTTAGCATCTACGTCAAATTAGACCTCTGGTTTTAAAAAAAAAAGGGAAAAAAAAGCCTTTTGCTTTTTATTTGACAACCCAGTTAACATCAGCTGCTGTTTTGTTTGGGCTGTTTTGCATTCCTCATAGAGACACTATTTCTTAGTTCAGTCAGGGATGCAAAATGGCTACAGTGATGTAGGTGTTATTTAAAAACTATATTAATTGAGAAAAGCCAAGCCTTGATTAACCTTTTCCAGGAGTTAACTGTCTTCCAGCTGCCTGGAAAGGTGAATCAAGCACAAGTAGGTTAAATATTTCATAAAGTACCTGCAATGTTGGATCTTTGGTCCTTTAGGTAACTCAACACACATATACAATCCTCTACATTATGTACTTGTATATATTATTTATATTATCCTTCACAACTTCTCTCTTATTTATTTCCACAGAGATGCAATAAAACACTTCTCAGAACAGTGTACTTTACTTACTATACTTAACCTGTTCTTTATAATTGTTCTGTTTAACTTTGTTATAATACTTTATGTTTTTAATGGTAAGAAGTCATCGTAAATAGTAATACATAGTTTAATGTGTTAAGTGCACAAGGTTAGGGATCTTGTACGTAATATTTATAAAAAATGAAGATACGGGTAAGTAAAGATGTGTATAAGACATTCTTAATACCTGTTTATTCACAACACCTAACGCTAAATACCAAAACATAACACAGAACCGTGTAAATGCAAAATGGTAGCACAGGTTAGATCATAAATTCAAATCTGGTTTTGCATCTCCTTTGTTTGGGTTTTTTCTTTCCCACAGAGAGGCAGATCAGATGAGCTTATCGTAATACTAATGTTCCCTCCCCCCCATCCCTCTCTCTTTGCTCTTACCCCAACCCCCCTCCTCTGCAGGTCCAGGCCTGGCGTTCATAGCCTATCCCAAGGCTGTATCCATGATGCCTTTCCCTACAGTGTGGGCAGTGCTCTTCTTCGTTATGCTGCTGCTGCTTGGCCTCGACAGTCAGGTTAGCAAAAATATATATGAAGATAAATGAACTTTAATCTCAGAACTCAGACCTTTTCTCAGAATTCAGAGTTTAAAGTCATAATTCTGACTTGACTTGGTCAAATCTCAAAAGAAAAATGTATGTGGCCCTAATCATTTTCCATAGATATTTGTAGGCAAACAATAAATGGTGTCTAATTGACATGGGTGAGGAAACCAACATACACTTTACCAACAAAACGTGAATTACCGAATGTGGGTTTGCTTAATGATAATGGAAAATTCTGAGGGGAACCTAAAAACAGGGGGGGCGCTAACATGTTATATTTGCTAACAAGAAAAAAGTACATTGTATCGAAAGAAAAAATAAATACTGTGTATTGCATAAAATAAAATGTACAAAAAAGGAATACATCAATTTAATCAGCTTTAACCAATTCAATAGATGCAGAAATGAGACACAAGTGATGCTTTTAAAAGGATGGGTAATAAATATGCGTAAGGTTAATCATGCTATCTTTTTTAAGAACTCTTTTTGTATTCCCTGCAGTTTGTGGAGGTGGAAGGGCAGATCACATCACTGGTGGATCTGTATCCGTCCTTCCTAAGGAAGGGTTACCGCAGAGAGATCTTCATCGCTATCATCTGCAGCATCAGCTACCTGTTTGGACTCACCATGGTTACCAAGGTAAAAAAAACTGCCAACAAAAGAGACCAGAATGTATGTAACAGTGCAAAAGTCAATCAACAGTTAGGGAAATGGCTATTTTGGATACATTTGTCCACCACACTCACAGTAATTATCAAGTTTAAACATGCACACGGCACATTTTGAGAATCGTATATAAACACTATGGCTGCTGACTTTATTCCGAGCTCTAACCCCTGATGAATACACCAGGAACAACAGCGTTCATACAGCTATTAGTGTCAGTCCCCGGGGGGGTGACAGAGGGCTATTTATACTGCCAAGTCATGAGAACTTCCCTTCCTGTATTATTAGACCCAGCTTTTCCAAATATCTTTTTCCTATTCATGTCTATTTTTCTCATCATGTCTTTCCTTCATGTCCTCTCATTCGCATCTACTCTTTCTCTATAGTTAATTTTCTCTGTTCTGATATTCTTCCTCTTTGCATCACTCATGTTCCTTCTCTGTTTTTCAACCTTATCTCTGTCTTGAACATTCCACATTTCCTCCCCCATTAAGTATACAGTCACACCATTGTTATGGATGATCCTCCTAACACTTGCCCTGTAGCAAAAGACCCTTTTCACTCCAGACATTTTGACTCGCCAAATACAAATGTAACTGTCATTATCTCCCAAAGCTTTGCTATTCTGCCTGGCTCACTGAGGCTTAGCAAGACATCTACGGAAAACCCAACAGAGTCCCAGTCAGTTGTTACATTTGAGTTTTTTCTGGCCAGTCATACTGAAGCATATCAAAACATCTATTCAGGCTGCTGAAATGTTAATATTATGACCTTTATTGAAAGGCCTTTATCGTCCTCATCCTCCCTCTCACACTGTCATTCTATTTCCTGCCTCCCTCGCTCCCTCTGTTATTCCCATGACAACATCTTTTTATGGCTCCGGTGGCCTGGTTCAACTTTAGGATTCCCATGATCGTTCACACACACACACACACACACACACACACACACACACACACACACACACACACACACACACACACACACACACACACACACACACACACACACACACACACACACACGAGCAAAGACAGATGTGCACATACACACTCAGAAACAGTAGCAGACTCACATTTAGTTAAGATAAATATAAATGTTATTTATATAGCACCTTCTAAACAGAGTTACAAAGTGCTTTACATAAAAACAAAACACCTTTTTAAAATGCACTGACACTAAAATCAACACATAAAAACACTACTTAACACATTATAAAACACAGAGGGTCCAACAAATCGAATGTGATAAAACACTAATAATCTGAGCCATTAAACACATTATAAAACAAAGACAGACAAACAAATAAAAAGTAATAAAACATCAATTAACTTGCATAAAATCCATTTAAAAATTCAGTTGTTATGCCTTTATGTCAGAAAGGCTAAATAAAGCTGTATTTAAACTGTATGTAACGCAAGACACAACAATATGGACCCTGAGCATGTTTTCTATTGATAATGAGATTGAACAATATAAAATATTGCCTGAAATGTACTCTTGGAAAAGTGTGTTATTACATCCTGTATTTGTGTTTCTCCGCAGGGTGGCATGTATGTTTTCCAGCTGTTTGATTACTATGCAGCTAGTGGTGTGTGCCTTCTGTGGGTGGCATTCTTTGAATGTATAGCTGTTGCCTGGGTTTATGGTGAGTAGCATTTGGAAATATATATATATATAGCAAAATATTGTGAGCCTGTAGGATGTTTACTAAATAAATAACTAGTTGATTTAAGTGCACAGGAAATGATTGGCTCTCATGTATTGTTTTATAATGTCTGCGTGCACTGAATCAGACGTCTGCTTGTCTTTGCACTCTCTCTAAGAGCATCCACTTTGGGATGGATAAATAAAGCTGTATTGTACTGTGTGCCTACAAAGGAGAAACTAACCTTTAGGTCAACATTTTTCTGACTGGTTGACATACATAACAACCTCAACTTAAAGGGGCCCTATTATTCCCTCATGTTTTATGTTTTGTGTTAAGCATTTTGAATTGCCTCTGCGCCCGAACATAATCTTGTATTTTTGTGGTGCATTCTGTGACTCAGTAAGAATTGAATTGCAAAAACTAATAAGAAGGTGTTTTACTGTTTTCATAGGCGCTGATAATTACTATGATGCACTTGAGGACATGCTGGGCTACAGACCAAATGCTTGGATGAAATATAGCTGGAGTTATATCACTCCTACACTGTGCATGGTAAGATAGTTGTTATTGTAAGTATCAGCTGTTTGGTCTGCCAAAGACCTTTTAGAAAGAGTTTGACTTCTTCTTCCTCTTTTTTTAACCACCATTATTCTGCTTCCTCTATCTCGTGCTCGTGTCATCATGATGTTGGCATGTTTCTTAAAAACACATTTCGCCATTTCAAATTGGTCAATTTTCTTGAAATACAATCTCCATCCGCTTCAACCTTCTGCATATGTTTCATCAAAATGTCTTGAAAGAAGGTGAAAAAATATATAATGAAATAATTGAGTAATTATATATATACTCCATTGGCACCCTTTAGTATATATTACGAGTTAATATACACTCAACTAGGCTGTTGTTATGTCTCTTTGGGGTACAACACATTTAGGTTTCTGATCAATTAGAATAATAAGAAACCAAAGAATAAATAAACTTTGAACTTTTGTAAAGCAGACATTGAACTGTTTTCAATGGTCATTTGACTAGTTAAAAAAGAAAATGGCGGTTGCAAGTTTCTATGGTGAGAATACGTTTCTTTACGCTTTGCCAAACTGCATTGTGGTTCCGTCGCTTCGCGTTGCTCGCTTCAAAAGTTGAGAAAAGTTCAACTTTTGAAGCTTCGACGTCAGCCAATCAATTCATATGCCAGTACAAGCTCTAGCCAATCAAACTGCGTGCTTGTGTGTCCGGGGCGGGAGATTCATGTGATTGGTTGTTGGTCGAGTTTCAGACACGCCCACCGGCAAGCTTCAGCGCACGCCGCCGTGTGGACGCTGCGTTACAGCAGAAGTGACAGAGGCAAAAATGTAAAGAGCAATCTCACATGAAAATTATAGAGACAAGCAAACGTTAATAAAAAAACAAAAATAAGGATAAAGAAAGAAGCAGTAACAGAATATTTTTAAGTTAAATTCCTGTATAAAGGGGTTGTCAAATAAATACATAGTCATTTGTAAATGGTAATGTCTGTTCTGTTCCTCTCCTATCTGAAACTATTTGTATTTGAACATTTGTTCCTTTTCCTCTCCAGGGCTGCTTGATCTTCTCCTTGGTCAAATACAAGCCACTGACGTACAACAAGGTCTACGAGTATCCTGATTGGGCCATTGGAATTGGTTGGACTCTGGCCTTGACCTCCATGATCTGCATCCCCATGGTGGTTGTGATCAAGATCCTCCGTTCTGACGGGCCGCTCATCGAGGTGGGTGGAGTAACCTTATGGTTCAGTTTTGTTTTGTAGGTTATTTTAGATCATAGATGCTCATTCCTGTTGTGGAGGAAATTCAAATTCCCTTGAGAGAAACTGATAAATGATTCTTTGACAAAGTTTGTCTTTTGTTATTACATTACATTACATGACATGTCACTTGTTAGACGCTTTTATCCAAAGCGACTTACATACTCAATACTGTGGGCAATCCCCACAGGAGCAATTTGGGGTGAAGTGTCTCAGGGACACAACGACATGCTGACTGCAGTGGGGTTTGAACCTGTGACCTCCTGATCCCCATACCAAGGCTCTATCCACTGCGCCACACGCATGTTATATTTAATAAAGTAATAAAGAAAGTCAAAACACAAGTGAAATCGATCTCAAATGCAGGGACAGAACAACTTAATCTTCAGAGGATAAAGAGGTTCTGTACGCAGAATACAGTAACAGTCACACTATAAATTAATGAAAGGAAGCAGCCAACTGGTCCCACCCATAAACTACCTTAGGCCCCGGCTCCACGAGGACAAATACGGCAAAACGCATCGGAGTAACGCAAACGCAACCGCAAAAAACCTTCCGCCCACACGCAATATACACCGGATTGTGTCAAGCTCCACGAGACGGCTCCGTTTACATCCAACCGCTGGAAAAGCTGCAGTACATATGCCGAACCTGTACGTGGCGCTGTAACTTCCTCCACAAAAGCAGCAACTTCCTCCACAAAAGCAGCGAAGAAGAATGGTTGTCATGGCTGCACTTCTGTTTTTTCTCCGCGGTGGGGGCGGAGGGAACCGGGCAGAGTTTTTCGCCGGTCAATGTGTGTTAAAGTTTAAATCTTCATGCTTCCTCATGCAGCAGCTGATCCAGTAAGTAAACCCGACAGTAAAAATAAACATATTTATAACTAGTTTAGTTTGAGAGGTAATTAAAATAGCTAAGGGTGGTGATCTGACTTGAAGTGTGTGTTTTGCTCCCGCTGCATCACAGCCGGAGGAGCTGCGTGTCTCCGTCCTGTCAGATTAGACTTCACTCGCGTTTATGTTCATATCGAGATAAAGATAAATAATCTGAATCTGAATCTGGTGGGGAGAGGCGGGGCTATGAAAACGAATGACCGTATAGGCGACTCCACGGCCCCGTTGGACCCCCCAGAGCGCTCCGTTCCCAGATCTATCCACCTTTGGACCCGTTGTCGTTTGCGGGGTCTGTTTCTACGTTTCCCTTACGGTGTCGTCGAGCTTAGAGGGCTATACGCATGAGAAATATGCGGATTCAACCCGTATTTGTCCTCGTGGAGCCGGGGCCTTAGGCTTTTCTAAACACCCCCACCATTAAACCATAAAACCCCCAGTCCTTTAACCATTTGCAAATCTCTTTTACCCCCGGTGGAATGTCAGTCCTTAACATATGTCTGTTACACACATACAAGACAAAAAATACAACTTAACAGAGTAAAAAACATAATATATGCTTATCTGTGATAATATGATAATAAATGATGATATGATAATTTGACACAACACCTGTGAATTCTTTATTTGTAGGTACAAACCTTAAAAAAGAAAGCCCTTCCTTCACATATCTGTACTTCATCCCTCCTTCCTTTCTTCTCCCTTCTTCTCTGCAGAGGATCAAAGCGGTGGCAGCCCCGATTCGCGGGGGGGCCAGCTCCCGCCCCGCAGACCACCGTGGCCTCAAGGAGCTCTCCTACCCTCTGGACCCCAATGGGAACAAGGGCCTGTTGATGAAGGCTCCCACCCACACCATCGTAGAGACCATGATGTAAAGGAATGAGGCGGAGGCTCTCTATGAGAACGCTCTCCTCTCCTCTGAAATGCTTCTAAAGCTAGCTAGTTTTCTGTCTATCTGTCTATCTGTCTGTCTGGTGGACTGATAAGGGTTTTAAGGAGAAAAAAAAAATCGCCCGGTTTCAAATCTTCTAGGAATACTTTGCAAGTAGTTTTCTCTTGGTGGGTTTTCTTAAGAGGGTAGCAATCACATTTCAAATCTATTTCTGAAACAATTAATGGTGCTGGTCTTTTTTCCCCTCTTTATAATATCCATGTGACTAAATGTCCCACTCTTAACTTGTTCAAAGGCAGAGTGGCAAATTACCACCAGCCTCTGGTCATACATTTGTTTACGCACATTTTTGCAGAAAATCGGATCTAAAAATTGACAAAAGTGGTCATTGAGTATTTGAATCAAACAGCTTTTTGTAACTACCGAATGAAAAAAGAGATCACAGATAACCAAAAAACGTATTTTTTTTTTCATGTTCTTTGAAAATTGTGTGACTGTGATACAATGAACTGGGTGCACTTATCTGAGGGCAAGTGCCATTGGGTAATTTTGATTTATTCTGGTTTATTTATCCAGTTGAGATGAAGTAGAACATGGAGTGGGTACAGCATCATTAATTAAAAAACATCTGTTTAACCCAATGCACAATTAAATATAGACATCTATGAAGTCACATGTTTCCCTTTTGAAATCAGCAGTTCTTGAAACAACATTTTGTGAGAACTATGACCAACCTAAATTTCAAAATGTGGCTTTGAAGTGTCTCAATCTCATACATCCTCTAGATTTGTTTCTGTGCTACAATAGATTATACCACTACACAGAATTCCCTGTTAAAAATCAAAATGTAGAATTGTCACAGCCATGATTGCCAACAACCCCAAACAATCCAGCATTCTGGTTTTTGCACCCATTTTATCCCCATCTTCCATAGCAATGAACTATGGGTCAAACAGAAACTAGCACTGAACGCATCAGGAAACCCGCTCCTGCTCAAAGACAGAGGTATCTGAAAGGATTTGAAGTGTGGAGGTTGAACCCTTGAGTGTGTTGTCTGTGGCGTACTGTACAGTAGTAGCTAATCAGTCTATCTATATCTATCTCTCTATCTATCTTTCTCTGTCCTAGACCAGTTTACAGTACATTAGTGACTGCACTAGGCGCTCTTGGCTTACAATTTTTGGATTGGATTATTTTTTATTTTACAGGGGAAGTTACATTGTTATTAGTTGTTCCTCTGTCATTGTTTAGATTTTTTTTTATTATGACTATAATGTTATTGGTATTCACTATTGATGATAATCGCTGTAGTTATACATAGAGAAAGGAAAACGTCTTTTATCGGGCGAACATTTCAAGCTACAAATCTTACATATACAGTGGCAGCCATTGTAGTGATAATCCTCTTTGTTGATTTCCTGCCAACTATTCCGTCTTTTTATTATCAAAAAAAACCAAACAATGCAACTGATTTATCCCAAATATTTTCTCCTGTGGTAGTGTGGGTCAAACATTCAGTGAGCAGTTCAATGTACTGTGAAACAAGAGAATTCTACAATGGCTCCATCTGTGAGTTCCTGGTGTCGGGGGTTTATAGCTTTTACTGTAAATATCGGGACAGTATTCCATTAGGATACATTCGGCTAAACAACACGGTAATACAACATGTCACCCCAGGGTCAGACTGTCCGATCATCTGAGGGTCAATATACTTTCCAGACACTGAAATGTGGCAGCTGGCTGCAGACAAATCAGAGCCAGTGAATGACAATGAATGAGATTAGTCATGTTGTTGCTCATCTTATTTAAAACGAGTTAAAAGGAATGATTTCACACCCCAAATGTTCGAAAGAGCAAATGAAAATCTAGCTAACCATGCACTCATTCAAACCTCCATACAGGGAATTGGGTGTCAAGTCAGAATACATTTACTTCTGATTTAGTTAATAAAAGCTGTGAACTTAGACACTGTACAAGATAATGATACCGGGAAGTTGTATCTGACACCGGTAAAACCTTTACTTTAAATAGAATAATGCATTTACAGCCTAAGCTCATTGAAACTGTCTTTAGAACTCCAGAATACTGTAGTTGTGAGCCATTATCAACTTAAACTATTTGAGAAGTATGACATTTACATTCCCTTGTAAAGTCCAACATTTTTGCATTCTGGGTGAGGAATACTCAATTAAAATCAATCAAAATTAATGTTTCTGTCTTAAAAGCCACACAGATTAGAAAATCATGCATTTACCATACTTTCTTTATCAACAAACCTGGGCAACAATAATGAAAGAGTGAGTCAATGCGACTTTTTATTGCACCTTATTTGTCAAATCTGGCTTTCATATCAAATTATGAGGTCAAAAAACTAAACACTGCCATCATTTTAAAATAGATAAAAATGTTAAACTATTCATTCACATGCATTATACAGTTACACAGTACATATGCATTGCAGGAATTTGACCTACAACATCACATCAGAAGTGATTCTTGAGACCATGGCCTCATTATTGTGTGTCATAAGCTTTGATAATTGTTTTTGTCACTTTATTTAATTTCTTTCGACTAGATAAAGTAGCTCATATCGTTAAAAGGGATTTGTGAAACCAAATCCGCAGCAGACATCTATTTTCATACAGTAACAAATGTTTCCTATATAAGTCGTCTTTGTACAGCTAAGCTCCCACTGCAGACCTCCCATTTTAATACGGATACAAAGCTTCATTGTATTCTTAAACTTTTGTACAGATCTGGCTCTTGATTCCCCTGAAAGGTCTTTGCACTGTGGCTAAAAAAAAATAAGAAAAATGGACATAATGAAATAAAAGATCATTTTTAGAATATATAAAAAATGAATTTGAAAACAAAAATGGACTGTTAAATATGCTGTCTTTTCTTTAATTTTGTCTAGGTTAAGCCAAGAAATTACTACTTTTCTGGATTCAGCATTTCTAAGATGCACAAAATGGAAAGAAAGACATTTTTTATTTAGGGAACTTTAAGAACCTGCAACGTTTTGACAAATAATTCAAACACAGGCAAAAAACCTGAATAAAACGTTCCCTAGTGCTAAGATCCTTCTTTTGGTTGGGAAACACGGGCCAGAGATAATACTTTAATGCAGTCATTTATCTGTTGCCTCTGTGTGTATTTACGGTATGTACCAGTCCCTCTGCCTTCTTGCACTCCCCTTCAGTTAGCCTGTGTAAACCTTATGTTAAGCTAAGCTAACCGTTTTTTTTTATCAGAGTTGATGAATTTGCAAGAGAATCGAAGCATTAGCAATGCACAAGTTTTTACCGCCGAATGTGGAAATGTGAAAGTCACCTGCGGGTGAATGTAAAAGTTTCTGAAGATTTATTTTTTAGGGTAAAAAAGAAAAAAATAGATCTTTTTTGTTTATTTTTGTTGATCTTGTTTTATTGAATTCAGCAGTTTTATTTTTGATTGTGTTTCTGTCACATTTGCCTTTTGTATTCCAAATAGTGTATTTTAACCTCTGTCATTGGAGTAACATGTACAACTATCAATCAACAAAAAAAAAAAGCTACGATTTGTTACGTGCAATACTTTGTAGAATACTTTTATTTTTCTTGCTGTTTTCCTCAAAGGTAGGTGACGCTAGCCTGTGAATTCTTGATGAAGAAAATTTGAATCTTCAGGGTCCAGTAAAATTAAATCCTGCCACAAAATGTGTGGAAACCAAACAAATCCACTATTCCATCAAAGATCTTGTGGTTTGAAATGCACTGAGACTAAAACTTTGTCACATCAAAACTGAATTTCCTAGTGAAATGCTATTTTTTATTTTTGTGACAGACCGCTAAGTGAGTTTGTAAGAGGTATAAAACACAGTAACACTGCCACTAAGCCCACCATATTTGTACTTTTTTTATTTCAGTACTGCATTTTTGCTAATATCAGACAATTCCAAAAGCTTGCATAATTTTTAAAATGAGCAAAAAACATGCAAAAAGATTAACGATATCTGAAAAAAGTGAACCAGTTCCCTCTATAAGGGTTGTAGGTGTCTTGCTTGTGATAGAACAAATACCTTGGAGTAGTTTTGGCTGCTTTGGAAAGGCCTGCCTCTTAGTAACAATAGCAGTATATATAATGACAATTTAACCATATCAAATGTGGGCTTTTCTTTTAGAACTTTGTATGCAATTTTTACATTCTGCTTATTCCAACATTTCTATTTTAATCCAACCCCACTTCGCCAAACCCTGCAACCTCAGTGCTTTATAAAAAAAAGTGGAGAACCAAATTACATCTACGGGAGCAGAATATAAATCCCATGTTGCCTACATCATGTTCATCTCTGTTATGAAAGCGCCAACATATCTGCAGGATTCATAATCTCATTGGCTGTTTCTGTGATGAATCTTCGGGCTCTGTAGAGGTTAGAAGATAAACAGGACTTCATTTCCTTAAAACAAATATGATGTTTGGTTTGAAGTCTGATAAATATTTGACCTAAATACATATTTGGCATTTTAACTTTGATCATGTTCTGACTCAAGAGGTTAACAATGACACAAAAGGCTGTTGTCCTTACTTAAATGCTGGTATTCTCAGCGCTAAGCCCTCTGGGAAATGGAGTCCCAATCATCCTCCATTTTGATCATGGTCTCCAATGACAATGCCTCAGTCTTTCCTGCATTATACTTGCCAGCCCTCCTTTTTGAGAATGTAAATGAGAAAATGTTTTTTAATTCTTAGTGAAGAAAAAAACATTTTTTTAAAGAATTTGAAAGGTTTTATTTTTTATTTCTATGGCCAACCTGTAAGCTAGGTAAAAAAGAAAGTGTTTGAACAGGTTTTACAAAAGGTGTAAAACTTTTTTTATTTCTTAATAAAAAATGTGTCTTCAGAAAATGAACTCATGAGTTTTATGTCCCTGCATGATTGCTCATAATATTTGTATTTGTATGTTCAGATTGTATATCGTTACAACGCGTACACAACAAAAGAAACACAGTTAAAACGGCACATAGACACCCACAGTTGAGACATTTTTGCACACAAACATCATTCCATTCAAGTTCAATTTCCCAACTCGTGGGAGTTATGTACCCAAATCCCCTCGACAGCATAATAAACGGTAATCCTACAAATCCTGTAATACAAGATTTAAGGTTTTCAAGCCAATGCAGGAGGCTCCATTCCACCACAGTCATTGCTGCCAGTTTTCCTTTAATGTGAAAGTAGTACAACGGGCTGGAAACTGATTTGTGGCAAATGCAGGTACTGTAACCTGTATGTCATCAACCTATGATGTATTATATCTGGCACCTGATAATTTGTTGTGTTTATTTGTATAATGCCAAGTATCTATACCCAATTGTCTTAAGTTCCTCGGAGGGTTTGTTGTCAACAGTAAATGCACACATTAGCATTGTATACTTAACATTTTTCAATTTCCATTGAATTTTAATTTTAATTTAAAAAATGAATGCTCCAGTCTGGTCCGCATTAACAATTTATGAATGATCCTAGAGGGTCACAAAACACCGCTAACACTGGCTGGCTGGTGTCTATAACTTTTTTCGACATCACATACTTTGACTTTTTCATATTTTTGGAGATTCTGTACTTAGATTTTTTCCATATATTTTACATACTCTATTGGGACCTTTACAAAAATATATATATTCTGTCATACTACACTGTGACTTTTTACTTGATACTATATTATTTGATAGTTTATAGAGTTAATTACTTTGACATTTTGATTTTTTCCGACATACTGTTAGGACTTTTGTCAACATACTATACTATATATAGACATTTTATTTATTGGGATAAACCCCTTGAGATGCACCATCTCGTTTTCAAGGGGGTCCCGAAATGTCCCGAAACTATGACTTTTTCCTTGATACAATATTATGAATTTTTCACAATATTTTCAACATACTATCCCATGTATATGAACCGAGGAAAAAAAATGTTTTCCAATCTTCTTTATTTTTTATTTCCCACCTATTTAGGGTTAAAAAAACATCTTGCAATTTAGACTTTTTTTATTTTATTTTATTTGTAAATGTTACAGTATGTCCACTGTAGAGGACGTCAGGACCATTTTAGTTTGAACAGACAGCCAAAATTAACAGATAGACTATGTAACGTATTATGGTTATAGAGTGATATTAATACAAGAATACATTCACCTTTATTTAAAACATAAATAAGTAATTGATCTGAACATTGCTGTTTATTTGGTCATTATAAAACTAGTTTGGCTTTTGGTGAATCTTTCCAGATCTTCAAAGACTTTGTAGTCAATGTACTGGGAAAAGTACCTCATTGGACTCCAGTCGGCACAGGCTGGAGGGTCATCTTTACTAGTTTTATGGATGTGGTCTCCATTTGACCATGCTCATAGAAACAAACTTGGCATTCCTTAGGCAATTCTCATTTTTCCACTTAAAATAAAAACAACAATAAGACACACGTGCTACTCTTGGCCCACAGAGGGCCATGTCTTTCCCGCTCGTCCCTATCTGTCTCTATGTCTGCATCTGTGCGCTCATGGAGCCTCCTGCATCTTTCCCCCCTTCTTCTTGACCCTCTTCTATCCCAGGTGTGAAATCCTCATCTCTCTTATCATCTGAGAGCTCCAAATCTGAATCTCCCTTAACTATCTGGTGCAGAAAATGTCTGCTTCAGTTCCGTCTCCTGCAACAATATTGAGTCTATAAGTCCATGAAGATGGTCCTGAATAAAAGAGCTGTTATTTGAAAACTTGAATTATTTAATTGCTTTCAGAACTAATTATATAGTTCCTCACATGTTAATAAACAAGAACATAAATGATTTTCATGGTAAAAATTACAATTATTCAACAATATTTGACTTTTCCTCCTGCTTCTATAACATTTTGTTTTTGGTATGCCAGCCATTTTGGATGAAAAGAAAGAGGAACTTCCCAGCATGCAATTTTACCCAATGACATATCACTGGAAAGACCAGGATGTCCTCTGTACAGTACATCAGGGATTGATAGTGTAGTTCAAAAGAGTAAAAGGAGATGCATGTTAACAAAATGTCCACTACAATGGGCTGGGTCCCAGGAGGATATGTATGTATGTATACTAACTATATTATAGACTTTTTTTTATGACATTTTCAATACAATAGACTACATACTACATACAGACTGGATGTAAGGCTTTCACTTGTCTTATAACTACAAAAATCCTTTCATAATTCAACCAAAACAAAGAACTACAAATTAAACTTCAATTACATTCATACTTAACATTAAATGTCTCATCTTTTACATCCCTAACTTAACATGTATGAGTTGTGTATACTATGGCACGTGTCATTGACTGGGTTAAATCAATGTGCTTTTGATTGTTGATTGTTTCTTTATAGCAACACTTTGGGGAAATAAGGCGGACAACATGACTTTAAAATCAACTCTTATTGTGTTTTGAAGTAAATTATCTGATGCAAAAACCTTTGCAGCCGTGGGAACTGTAAGTGTGAGTAAATGTGTTCTGTATTTTTCCAAAGTAAGGGATTTGTCTTCATGGTGACAAGTGAGCTTAACAACCCCACCTGTGCTCATAAGCTAAGCTAACTACTGAACAACACAAACGGCCTCCCCCCCTCATGAATGTGGCTGCATGTTCTGAAAGAACTGCAGTTAGTAGCTCTGTAAACAGCTTCGGATTATGGGATATTTCCACCCAAACATCCATTTCACAACGGGGAAATAAAGGCTCAGACATAATGGAGATTAATGGAAAGCCGGCTACTAGAAACAGACCATTTTCCCAGACCGTAACTTTCCCTCGGTAGGGTCACATATTTTTATCTTCAAAACCAAATAACGGACTCCCAAGAGAGTGTTTACATGCTACATGAAATTCTAACATAAAATGGCCTGTTTATGCCTAACAGTAAGTAACCCCTAAAGACATAAGGCTCTTTTGGGCACAGTCACAAGGCTTTGTTCCTTTTATTGTCTTGATTATAATGTTGCCTGGAAACATGGTACACAAATAACACCATGTTATTAATGTGCATTGCTCCCATGTGAGCAGAAAAAAGAGGATGTTGGTAGCTTGAAACATCCTAATATAAATGTTGCAGTTGTTTTTCAGAAGCTTGAACTTTAAATAACCATCACTCCAAGGAAAGAAACACAAAGTTGACATTTCCATTCAGCGCCTGCCGGCTCCAGGAATAGACTTCACTGCTCAGAAACTCTTTTTTCATTTTCTCATGACAGTTTTTTGGCCTTCACACCAAGCAGCAAGCAAAAACAAATCTGTGTGTTTTTAAGATCAGTGTTTCATGGTGCTTTCATGGGGTTTTTTTGTACTGTGAAAAATAGAAAGGGAGTAAGGGATGATGTGAAGATCAAAGAAGGCCTTATCAAGTTTGATTTGGATCCCAGGATGTTATGGTTACTTGGTGCAGGCCACAGGGACAATAATGCACTTTTGCAGATATGAACCAGGTTTCCTCCCATTGGCAGGTCCATTCCCCCTCCTCAATGTATACCAGTTACTGCAAAATAATTATCTAAATAACTTTTTGAGAATTGCTTTTATGTGTTATTATTTTCTATTTGTTTTACTCTTTTATGTGTTTAGATGCTTTGGTTTAATAAATTGTTTCTTTCATTTTCATATTTTTTACGGTGTTCCGCTTTATGTGAAAGCACTTTGTTACACTGTTTTGAAAGGTGCTATAAATAAAGCTGAATTTGAATTATTATTATTATAGTTTGTGTAATTAAAAACCTGAAATATCATAAAAACGAACATCTTTTAGTAAGATTGAAAAAAGGCCAATGTATGTATGATTGAAAAAGTTCATGATTTAGTATATTATGTCATATACAATCTTATATTATATTAAAAGTCAGAGAAGAAGTAGGACCATGAAAACGAGTCATTAGTCATGAAATAAAACATTTGAAAAAAATCACAATATAGTTTGTTTTAAAACATTTCCAAAAGGATTCAGTTTTCTTTTCAGATGGTTTTCAGGTATTTTTTCAGCTGAGGTTTAGTTACTTTCACCACTATAGAAACAGGGAAGCTCCTGGGTTTACTTTAGGCACATTCGCACCAAGCAAAGGATGTAGTTCAAATACAAGATGTACTAGAATAATTACTATACTATACTATATATGATTAATGCATATGCCAGAGGAGGTGGAAGTATAAAACCTAATGAAGACGTGTGACACAGAGCAGAGACAGAGTTTCTTATCATAAGGCTGCGTGCATATCATTGGAATTGTGGGGTAGAAGTGTGTGTGTGTGTGTGTGTGTGTGTGTGTGTGTGTGTGTGTGTGTGTGTGTGTGTGTGTGTGTGTGTGTGTGTGTGTGTGTGTGTGTGTGTGTGTGTGTGTGTGATGAACAGAAAAGTATACACACATACTGTAAAATAAACCATTTTATTCAGCAGACTAAAAAAAAAAGATCACGTGTCACACTTTACCCATGGACAGGAAAATAAATACTTAAAAAGAGGCTCAATTACTTACATGGGAACGCACTCGTTTCAACATAAACAGCCACACACAGACAACACTTACACACAGTTCATTATACACATATAAATGTGTATATGCTGGCCCCCTACCCAATATAACTCCTACTTCACACACACATGGCTAGTTCAGGAACTAAAACATTTAGCAAATGATCCTTGTGCAAGTGAACAACCATTAGATGATATGCATGCAGCATGCAGCTTGTGATGTGATACTCCGATAGCCTTCACTCAGAAGTATTAACTCCACTTCAGTGACTTTAATTGGAAAAAACAAACATCAAACCCATGTTCATTTTTAGTTGTGATATTATTTCTGGACAAGTTCTAGAATTTCGGTTGAAAAGTTTGCATTTAAGAAAA